GTGACCTCAGAAGTACTAAACAGAATATATAACCTCTATCTGTCATATATCCTGAGAAGAAACCTTGGCAAACATTTTTCTGGTGAACTGGACCATAATTAACTCAGCTTGGCTCACATGGAAGAGATCCTCTGTGGGTGTCCTTAGCTGAAGGAATCCTATTCAGAACCCAGAGGTGCCTGCTGTGCTTTTGGCCTCTTGAAAATCTATCATTTTTACTTATTTCCAGGAGTATGAAATAAAGAGAATTAGGAATAGGCAGAGCTTCAGAATTTTACGTATTTTGAATATACCATTATCTATGAGAAGAGTTTTATAGGAACACATTTATTATGTGAAATGTATGTTTTTTATATTTTTAGGTTTGTGGTTATTTTAATTTATAGTGTTAGCCAAATGGGTCATGATTTTCTTTTTATTCTTCCGCGTATTTTCCTATCCCTCTTAATATAAATTAAATTAGATAAAAATACACCCTATAGCCAGTTGACAAGAAGGGAAAACACTCACTTTTGGTGATCACCATTCCATCTGTTGTATGCTGATAACTAGCAGAAACAGATGACAGACACTTTGTTCATACCTTGTTTCTATATATAACATTTTCCTTTTGAATATTTTATGAGCTTTAATATATAATTATTTTAAATATATTGTTTTATAATTGGAAAACAAATACTTAGTTTTTTAGGGGAAATATGTATATATATAAACTTTACATTGAGGCATTTTGAACACCTGTCAGACAGCTGCTGACATTTATTCCTCAGCATCGATCTGAGGATATTTAGCTTGACAGAGGTTTTCAAGTTTTGACTTAATTGTCATAATTAATATTAAGTTTGAAATTTTGCTCATGAATAAACATTTTCTCTTTTTATATATAAATTACATAGGGAGGCTTTCCTTAGATTTCCACTAATCACATGTGGCTTATTTATTAATTGTCATTTGTATAAATGTTGATTTGTCATCAAAAAGATAATGGTTAAATTTAGAGAAAATAGTGTACAAATGAATATGTGAAATGCATCTTCATGATATCAAAGATGTTGAGGCACTGTCTTTTAGTTTTATATTTAGTTCGTTTGTAAAATGAATCATTCTAACCTTGGAAAAATCCTCATGCATCTGACTTAATTGTAAATTAAAATAACCCCAGCTCTAAAGAATTAATTAAAATTTGTTACGTTTTCTAGTTCAAATGAGTGAAGTTATTGAAAGATCTAATTATTTGTTTCAGATGAATAAGCTATTAAGATGATGCTTCGTAGCTAAAAATATTTTTTCTTTTCTAATTTAGATATTTTGTCTCTACTACCATGCCACTCTCTTTGTGATGCTTTTATCACCTCCTGTTTCAAGTAGACAGATAAAGAGCCAGGTGATCTAAACAGCTTGGATTGTCATTGTTCCTTAGGCAAATAAAGTTCTTAAAAAATGGTAAAACAGGGCTGGCCCGGTGGTGCAGCGGTTAAGTGCGCACGTTCTGCTTCAGTGGCCTGAGGTTCTCTGGTTCAGATCCCGGGTGCGGACATGGTACTGCTTGGCAAGCCATGCTGTGGCAGGTGTCCCACATATAAAGAAGTAGAGGAAGATGGGCATGGATGTTAGCTCAGGGCCAGTCTTTCTCAGCAAAAAAGAGGAAGATTGGCAGATGTTAGCTCAGGGCTCATCTTCCTCAAAAAAAAAAAATGATGAAACAGAAAAAAATAAGAAGGTGTGAAGATTTGGAGCAAGTTTCAAACTTTCATTTACTTTTAGTAGCTTAATAATTGCAAAAGGAAGCACAATGTGGAATTGAACCCTCAACTGATCATTTGAACTTTAAGGTAATTTATCTGTCTTAAGATCTAAAGCACATACTTGTTAAATAAATTATCCCTTCTTCCACATGCTGTTTTCACCCTGCTGCCTTATTTATTTTGTTTCTAAAATAGTGTCAGCCTCTGTGTATATCATGAAGTGACCACTTGGTTATGAATACTTCTATCCATCTAAGTTAGGGCAAGTTCTTTGAAAACTGAAATTTATCGAATCATTTCTCCCTCTTTTTAGCTCCCCTTACGTTTTCTGATTCATTCAGGGATACCATGTTTAAGAGATCTTGTCTGTTGTAATCATAGGCAGTTATGTTGTCATGTTTTCAGTTGCTGCTGCTTCATTCAAACTAGAAAAAAACCCAGAGCTCTTAACATTTTCTTAGTTGAAGGACTTGGTATTGTCAAGAGTTGTGTTTGGATTAAATCTTATGTTTTTTTCCATTGGAAATGTTAGTGATGTGATAAATACTAAAGAAGCTTGCTGTTGTTTACTTTGGTAATGGATGATGCTAGTCATTGTATTGTAAGGGTACCAAAACGGGTAGAATATAGTGTCAACTTGAGATATTGAAGTTTCCTTTCTGTTGGGTATAATTCTCTGGTTTACTTTACTTGTTTTGAAATATAAGAATTTTTCGTTTAGGCATCACAGTGTTACAGTTTATTTAAGTATTCAAGTGAGAGTGAGAGATTTGCTTTCTCGTGATAATTTTGCTCATCTCTATTTGGGATTAAATTATTAATTTTGGATTTGGCATGCAAGAAAAATCACCAAAATGAGAGTTGAGATACCTGGATTTGAGTTTTATTTTTGTCAGTTACCTGCTGTGTGATCATCAAGTCACCTCCTGGGGCTGCTTTTTCAGAGCTTTAAGATGCTATTATTTCATGTTGAGTTGTTACCTTTCTTTTTCTGGCTGGAAATTGTTTATGTTGCTTATGTTTAGTTATTTAAAATTACTGCAGGAATACATCAACAATTACCATTTAGTAATAAATGCATTTAATTTAAAATGCTTGTTTTAGGTAATTGTAAATATACTCATTCATTTTAAAAATAGCACTTCAATAAAAAATATACGTAGTTGTATAAGAAGGAATTTATAAATATAGAGAAATGTAACCATGCCACTGTGTGATAGGATCACTAATTGACATTATGCTTTATGATGCTAATTATAGTATGGATATGAAAAACTTCCAATTGATGGAATCATACCAGATGTTTGAAGATTTAAATTATTAATCAGAAATGGTGAATAACTGTATAGAGTCAAAAGAATTGAAAACAAAATCTTGGAGCATTCATATATATACTTCAAAAATTAATTCAATGATTAGATGATTCAAAAACTAGATGATTCATTTGCTACTTTATTACCTAAAAGATGGGTTGAATGAAGAGAAATATGGAAATGTGTGAAGGCCTTTTCAGCATTCTTAGGTGTTTATAGAACTAAAATGAGTAATTTGAATATTTTCCTGTTAATAAAGGTCATTATTTCCGATCACCTTATTGAAATATCCTATATACATAAATTATGCAAATTGAAAAATAGAATTATTAGAGAAGGGAAGAATAACTTACTCTTTGTCAGTTTTATTATTTGTATTATCTAGTGTAATCATTTATGAGTTTCAGTCTAACGACTTATTATTTATTTCATTAAACAAATTTATTGAGCCTTTATGTAATACGTATTGTATTAATTTATTTGGGTCTAGAAAGGGGAATATGACCAGTTTTGGGATGAATTATGTTGGGGGACAGAAATTGAAGCATAAAGGACAAGAATGTCACAGAAGGGAAAGATGAGTATATAAAGAGCTTAGAACTTGGATAAATGTTGTCAGTATTAAGGACTCTTCTGCACTGATGTTCTCATACTTTAATGTGTGTGTGACTTGGGCATCTTGTTAAAAGGCAGATTCTAATTCAGTATATTGTGGTGAGCATGAGATTCTACATTTCTACCCAACTCCTAGGGGATGCCAGTGCTTATGAGCCGTGGTGGATATTTTAAGGAGCAAGGCTCAGTACTGTTCTTGGGAAGTAAGAATAGATGTAGGGCTTGCATTTAAAGCCTTTTCCTGGATACAGTCTTCTTCTTCCTAATTCCTTCCATAATGTAATTAAAACATACTGATTGGCAGTACAAATATAAATGAATACATAGTCTATAAGCTTACTTTTTTTGAATGACTAGTTTAGTCAACTCCTGGTTATGCAGATGAAGATTAAACTGTGCAGTTAGCCATGTTGTTAAATGACAAGGGACTCCATATCATGAAGAATTGAAATGACAGTAATTTGGGAAGACATCAGTGTATTTATATAGGACAGCAATTCTGTTTAGAATGATTTAATACCTACTCTAACTTGGGAATGTTCTTTGCCATCACCAGTCAGACAAAGTAATTTGTGGAAGTGCTGCCTCCTTTCTCTTCCGGTCTCTAAAGGGCAGTGGTACGCACATGGGGATATCAAGTCTACAGAGGCTGTGCTACCTGGGTGAAGACTTTTCACATGTTGGCTGCAAATACTGTTGTACTTATATTAATTTTAAACATTTGGATGTCGTCTTTCAAATGGTAAACGTGTTCTGAAATATAGGTTGTAAATCTTAAGTTTAAAATAAGTCATTTATATTGTATTTAGTTAGTTTTATTTCAACTAGGATTTGGGGACCATCTGAGATTGTTTCTTCCCAATTTTTTTTATGGCTGTTAAAAATTGTTTGTTTATGTTACTCAAACGTGTATGCACATATGCATACAAGGGCATGCAATAGATGTAGTATGAGTATAGGTTTAGCATTTCAGCTGTGGAAGTCATATATGATAAGTTATGAAAATTTAAATGCTCTGCCTAAGTCATAATTGTGTGATATATATGAAGTGTTGAAAAAATCCTTCAAACAAATTTTGGAGAACTTATTTTTCCTATCAGATACTTGTGTTATTTGAAAGTAAAGCACTGTAACAAGTATTTAATTTGTCATGTTTTTATTTTCTGGGACATAAATTGTAACAAAGTGCAATAGAGCAATACAGCATTAATTAGAAATACTAATTTTCCAAGTGCTTAACTTAAAGCAGTAACATTTAACAGAGAAAATTTATTTTTATTATTAATTAAACATTAGATATTTTTGTGGATTTTTTTTTTTTTTTTAGAGAACCCGAGGACGAAAACGAAGCTTCATTCCTGAGGAAGAAAAACATGAGGTTGGAATAAGTTAAGCATTTTTACACAGTCTAAAATTTGAGAAACTTTCTTGCTTAAAATTATTTCTGTTTTCCTCATATCTCGATTTTGTTTTCCCTTGTGTGGCAGGAAAGAGTTCCCAGAGAGAGAAGACAAAGGCAGTCTGTGTTACAAAAGAAGCCCAAGGCTGAAGACTTACGAACGGAATGTGCAACTTGCAAGGGAACTGGAGACAATGAAAATCTTGTCAGGTAAGTTGGATCCTGAGACCTTGTCTTCAGGGGATTAAAATTCCATCTTCATCATTTTCTCATCACAGATATAATGGGGAAAAAATCACAGTGTAGGACCTTTCTTAAAATCTTGGTTAGTGGAAGCAGTACTTCAGAAACCGATTTCATCCACTTATTCACCTGCCGCACATGGTTATTCTCTGGATTTGGATGTAATTAAGAGTGATAATCTAGATTTTGAACACAAGAGATTTCATTTTCCCTTGGCAAGAGAAGTTGACGATGCTCTGTATATAGAGGCCACCAAAATAATTTGATCCAAACACTTTGTACTAAGATTATCATGTTTTATGTCATAAAACAATAAAATTACTAAGCTCTGCTGGCATATTATAAAAGTTGAAGTTTATTAGCAGTAATAAGACAGATACTTTTTATGGACGAGAGCTTCATTAGCACTTCCTTACCATTTATCAAAACAAATGTGTTAAATGCTTCTCTCTTATGAAATAAAGAAAGGTGAAAAGATGGCCTAGATAGATTATTTTGGTTTGTTTTTTGTTTGTTTTCTTCTTTGTTTCTTTGTTTTGTTTTGGTACTTTTTTTGTTTTATCAGACATAATGCTAACCAGGAATCTCAGCTGATGTTGTACAGTGGCTATTCCTGAGGGTCCAGACACTACTCATTTTAGCCATTTTCCTCTTTGCTGAGATGAAGAAATTGCTCAAAACGCTGGGTGAGATGGAGGAGTGGGTGGGTGAACAAAAGGAGACCTCGTCTAAAAGAGGGATCACTCTCTCAAAGGACAGTGACACAAGGAACATTTCAGTATGTTAAGGGAACCCTTTCTGATTTCTTTCAAAAATTGTCTTATGATAAAGTCCTATTAAATTAACTGAGAGCACAGAAATTAAATGTTTCAAAAAGAATAAGTTGATAAAATATTGTTATGTAATTTTAAACATTTACTTCCAAAATGATGTCATCTATTTGTCATTAAAAATATAATTTCTATTTGTTTTAATTGCTCAAATAAAGGCATATAGTTTTAAATTTGTGAGTTTTTTTTTACACAGTCATTGAAGAATATAAGGAGAAAATAAAAATTCCAGTGAAGAAATACAGAGTGCTTCAACAAAGTTAAGAAAGTTTGTATATTTGGCCAGTGTTTTTTGAAGTAGTTTGTGTAGAAAATCGTGAGCACTCTCCTGGAGGTTAAACTCATTTAAATTTAGGATAAAATAGGTCCAGTATCAGAAGATAGACATGAATAATTTCTGACCACAATAAAATTTTCTGAGTTATGTAAAAAAACAAATCCCAAGCATAAAAATAACATAATGGAGTGCTTAATGCAATAAAAATAAACAAACAAAAAGAAAAAAAGCATAAGAGCAATCTTACATAATGAACAAAAGTTCAATATATAAGAAATTCTCTTGGACTTGAGGGTGGCATTGTGGGGCATGATCAATTTGAAACAGTAATTAAAAACTTAGAGAGCTGGTTAACCTCTTTTTAATTATATGAACCTATATAAATATCCACCCTCATTTCTTTTCTCTAAGATAGTGGCTTGATTCAGGCTTTTTTGCTATAGCAACTATACGTTTTTACTAAGTTTTTATTTACTTATTTTGTTTATTTAGTCATGTATTTGAATGAAAGGACTTAGGAAATAACAATTTTTATCTTAAAACACACTTTATAACAAGAGCATCTCCAACACATCATATTTTAGTTGTCTTTAAAAAAAATAGGTGCCATCTTTCTTCAATTCTTGATAAGATTTTTGAATATTAGCCTTCTCATTTATTTAATTAGTTTCTGTTATAAAACTTTCATTCCTAATTGCATTATTATAACATACCAATGTGTGGGATTTTGTGAAAGTCTTCTGGAAGGTAAAGATATTTTTGTTACTCTAGAAATGATGGATATACAAAGTCTTCTTCCTTGGTTTTGCCTTTTTAAGAAGAAAACATCACAGATTTTCTGCAAAGGTTTTAAAGAGGTAATGAAGAGGGAGTTTAAATGTTTTATAAATATTATATATTAATGTTTTTGAGGACAAAATAAACTGACTATAAAGCAATGCCATAAAGTGTTTTATGGTTATGTGTGAATGTTCTATAAAAAATATATATACACATTCAATTTAAGCACTGTTGCACTTGGATTAAAGAATTTATTTTACATAGAATTTCATATGTTTAAAAAGGTGATCTTAAAAGCTAATATCTGCCATTTCCCCTAACATCTCTTTTATTTTGTAATTGACACCATTGTTCTTTGCAGATCCCCCCAAAAAGTCCACACTTTTATGATTAAGTTGCATCTTAGATATTATGTACACATGCTGTTTTTTTTAACTTTAATTTTAAGACATTTTAAATTGGACTTCATTTTCCCTAAAGATATATTTCAGTGCTTGGTCAGAGACACATTATACCTATTATGTATGTCTATTGGGTTCTCTTATAAAATTAGACTTCCTGGGTCATAATTTAATTGATCATCTTCTACTGAATGTATTGCCTTTATTTTCTCAAGTTCCTTTGCACCGATGCGCTTGACTCACTAGAACCTGCTGTTTAGCAGCCTTGACTTTGAAACCACACTTCCCTATGTAATTCAGGCTGTGTGAATTCTTTCTTAATTATTTTCCTTTATTTATATATGTGTATATGTGAACTTACATGTATAATTTTTTAATGTCATTGGGAAATTGCGTTCAGTTTATCAGTTAACTGTAATAGTAGGTTCCAGCTGTTGTTTTCTGTTTTGCCTCTAAGTTTTTCTCAGGTCTGTGCCGAGTAATTCAGCACTTCTGTCTCAGTTGTTCCTTGTATTATTCATGATCAAAATCATACTGTGCTCCCTTAGGGACTTTGTGAATAATTGCTGAATGATAGTAAATTCTTTTCTGTGTAAAATAGTAGAGTAGTGGTATTATTTATTAATACAAAGGATATATATATGTGGGCTCTGAAATACGGGTTCCAATTGGTCAGTATGTTCCAGTAATAATAAATGCTTATTTTTTACCTTTCAGAGAATGTGCATGTACTGTTTTTGTGTATATTGCTTCTAGAATATGGAGGACAAAAATTTGAATTTCTTGAAACACGTTCTCTAAAATGATTAGGGTGAACTATTTCTCCTAGACATGGGAAATACGAAAATTATTAAGGTCTTAAAGAGAAAGATGGTTTACAGTATCTTATGGGTTTTTTTTTTTAAAGATTTCGTTTTTTTCCTTTTTCTCCCCAAAGCACCCCCCGTACATAGTTGTATATTCTTCGTTGTGGGTCCTTCTAGTTGTGGTGTGTGGGATGCTGCCTCAGCGTGGTTTGATGAGCAGTGCTATGTCTGCACCCAGGATTTGAACCAACGAAATACTGGGCCGCCTGCAGCGGAGTGCGCAAACTTAATCACTCGGCCACGGGGCCAGCCCCTTCTTATGGGTTTTTTAAAAAATAGTGCTTTCTTTTTTGCCATCTACTTTTTAAATTTAATTAAAAATTACCTTGGAAGTTTCCAATTAAAAATATATTCCTTTATGTTATTTAGTACAGTTAAATGCTAAGCCAAAGTGAAACTGTCTTGGAATTGTGAGGTCTTTTTTTTTTTAGGTATTTATCTCTTTGTGATGAACATTTTTTGTTGGGAGTAATTATGGCCCCACTTAGTGATATCTTATTTGTTTTTGTTTACACCATTCCTGGCACATTTAATACTCAATAAATGCTTTATAAATGAATGACTACATAAGTAATGACTGATTATTCTTCTCTGAATTAATAATAACTTTCACTATTATAATTTATTCCTAAAACAAATTGGTTACGAAATATAAGTATTTGATGAAGATGTTTAAAAAGCGTAACAAAGGAGGATTGCTTTTATGTCCCTAAAGAATAGTGGATGAATTTTTTCTGTGTAGTAGGTAAGGAAATAGGAACCATAGATTGGAGATTAGTTAGTTGATGCATCTGTGTAAAAGTAGGAATGAAATGATTCCTCTCCTTGAACATATTTGATTTTCAAAAGATAGATTTTAGAGGTAGGTGGACCTTTCTTCTCTGTAAGTCTTTATCAAGCTATCAAATTAGGAATAATACCAAACTTTTAGACCTCAAATTTTTTCTTAATTGTGTAAACTCAATGTTGTGGCCATTACTCAGAAACATTGAGGGTAGGAAATGATCTATGAAGCTATTTTATTTTTATAGCTAAGTCTACACTATTAAGTGCTTGCTATATTCTCCTCTTTATTTGAGTATATGACGAATTACATAGGTATTGAACCATTTTGGTTACAAAATGAGGATGTCTATTTGGTCTCTTAACAATGTTGTTGGTACTTTTATTTATTTCACATTTTAAATATCTGGCTTCCGATTGCTTCCCCCAACACTAAATTTGATTGAATCACAAGTTATTAGGTGTACCAGGAAGAATTCATATTTATAAGATTTTTATTTCAAATATTAGTCTCCTTGATCATTCAGATTTTTAATTTTTAATTATCTTTTCTGTTCTAACTAGTATGGAGGCTGTGTTCTACTGTATTCTAAAGGATTGTTTCCAAAGCTCGAATTTCTAGTATTTCTTTCAGTTATGTATGGTAAAATGTGTCCTCTTAGGTCACCCTGACAGGCTGTGTAATATAACTCTTTCTTCAAGGGTGGCTGCTCTTATCTCTGATATATGTTTTACTTGGCTTTTCTCCCTTGAAAGTATAACCATCTTGAAGGCAAGGTCTGTTGTACTTCTTGTATAGTTCTGTGTTCTTGCTCCAAGTGACTGAACAAAGAGCTCCCCCGTGGTGGTTAGTGGCTTACACACTTCATAGGATGTTGCCTTAAGGAATCATTCGCAAGTTATTAAAGCTTTCTAATTTTTATGTTAAATGTAATATAAAAGGCAAAGATAAAGTAGCATATCAAGATGTCTTAGAAGACATATGGACTTTCTGTAACTCGTAGCCTGAAGAAATCTGCCTGTCTTAACA